TTCGGCTTTCCGATCGTCTCCTCAAGGGGTTGGACATTTTGGAAGAGCCCACCCCTCTGTACAGCTTCCTAATGCCTAAGAAGTGGGGCTTGCCATCTTTCTGCTGTGCCTATGTCTTCCCCAGCCTTTCTGGGAGACCCCCATCTGACCCATATTTCCATCCTGACGCGGTAGAGGATGCCCGGGGCTTGTGAGGTAGCGAGAATGAGACTAGAACTTCTCAACTACTCCATTCCCCTTTGTATGCTGCGCCAGATGCCCATTTCCACCACCCTGAGTCCTAGAGACCCACAAGGAGGAAGGGCCTGGCGTCCAATATGGAATCATAGGATCTGACTGGGAGCCTGGTGTTTCCCCTCCACTAGCGGAAGAGGGAGAACTGGGCGATGCGGAGGACCTGGAGCTGCGAAGAGAACTCAGGCAAACTCTGCGGGTGCGCAAACCCCCCACAAAGGGATCCTAATCCGGAGACCCTGCGCCCTCAACTACTATATTCAGCCCCCACCCAAGCCTTCACAGCTCCCTAATTCCCCCTCGCCCACGCCCTCTTCAGGCCGCACACAAGATCCCATTGTAGAGCCCAGAGGCTAGCGGCCCGAGGCGAAGGGAGTGGAAGGAGGAGGGAAGGCGAGCCCCTGGAGGGGCTGGGGGAATCCCCGATCTCCCTGCCCTCAGTTCCACACTATGTTGGACGGGTGTTGTGAGCCCCAGGTTCTACCGAAGTCTGGCAACTGAAGAGTGACGTGTCCCCATGAGGGTCTTAAGCGAGTTAGAGACGGGACCCCCAGGAAATTCACCCACTCCCCAGCCTCTCTAAAGCGTTGGGTGCGGAGGCTAAACGCATCCCCCCGCGAATTAGGCGGTGGCGGGAAAAGAAGGGTATCTTCGGCGGGGCGGGCCTCGGAGGGTCAAGATTCGGGCTACACTGTAGGGACCCGCGGAGGAGGAAGGGGCGAGCAAGAGTCCGGAGTGGACTGGCTGGGGACGTCAGGGGAGTCGAGGACCGAGCGGAGGCCGGGAGCCGGAAAGGGAGTCCCCGCACGGGGTCCGGCGCAGAGGCGGGGGCGGGCGCTGGAGGGCGGGGCGGGGAGGGGCGGCCGTCTCGGCCCTCCCTGGCGGGGCCCCGCGGCCTGGGAGCCCGAGCGGGCCGTGCAGCCACCGCGGCCCGAGCTGTCCCCTAGCCAGACCCTGCAAGACGCGAGCGGCGGGAGGGAGGCGGCGGCGCGCCCGGCCCCGCCCGCCCGCCCGAGCCCCGGACGCGGCCCCGCGTGGAGCCATGGTGAGTCCCGCGCCGCAACCTGGTGTCCCTTCGGTCTTTACGCAACTCGTTTCGGGTCCCCAGCCCCTAGTCCGATGCCTCTTATGCCCGCCTTTAGACTGCTGATCTGTCCAGGGACTCTCTGTCCGCCACATCTCTTCTTGTCTTTAGTCTGTCTGCCTAGCGCTGTCCCCACCGAGTACTGCCCTCACCCTTTCTTTCTTCCTCCTCTTCAGCGCCCATCCCCCATCCTCCCTTTGGTCTCTACTAACTAACCCACACACCTCCCCCGCCCTCCATCCTGACCTGTGCCTTCCTTTGCAGGATCTTCTCTGACCCCCCACCCCCACCCCCATCCCCTTCCCGGTCCCGTTTCTTACCCGCAAGACAGCCCTACGGGCTGGTCTTGCAGCGACTCTGGAAGGAACCTGGCCTCGGGTCATGAGAACTGACCTGCCTGGAACCACCATTTTCCATCTCTGTCCCTAGTCCGGTGTGGCGGGCCCACCCATCCGGCCCTGGGGGACCGGCCACAGCTGTGACTGGGCTGGAGCCAGCGAAATGGTCAAAAGGGAAATTTTTCGTCGAGAAGTAATGACAGAGTAGGGAGAGGGGCTCACAATGCCAGGGGGCGTGACGCTACTGGAACAGACATGAGATGAGGGGGTCCCTGAGCTCAGGCCACGCAGAACAGAAGCACAGCCTCAGAGAACTCCCGCTGCACGGAGGGGACCAGGGGACTTCCCTGTAAGGTGTAGGACACCCAGGCTACGCCTGTTTAGGACACAGGAAACAGGAGGGCACTATTAAGAGAACACCCACGCCAACCAGAGTGGACAGTGTCCTGGGAAATTCACTCCAGGAGTACTCTCTGAAGAGCTATTGCAGGGAGGTGTATTAGCTAGCACTGCCAGGAAGAGTAACCCGTGGAAGGGGTACATGGCCAAGGGGACGCTCACTGCATAGATTGACCGAGGGGGAGAGGCCCTGCCAGGGGACATTCACTGCAGAGTGAAGGAGCGAGAAGAGCACTACCGGATCGTTCTCTAACAGAGGAAGGCACCCCTGGCAAGGAGGCTGGAGCAAAAAGAAAGAGGAACTGGGCCAAGGAGAGCTGACTCAGTCTCTCTGGTCCCCCCTTTGGTCCCAGCCTGCAGAAGGCCCCATCTCGGTGCTAGCACTGCCTCCCGCTCCAGACCCCTCCTCCCCTCCTGCCGCTGCAGCTTCCTGTGGCTGAGACTCTTCTCAGCCATGAGCTCACCGCCCCTAATGGGTTGCAGCTGCCTCTCTGCTCAAGCTCTGCACCCCCCTCTCCAGGCCACTAAGCTGACGACTGCCCACTCTGCTTCACCCCCGCCCATCTCTCTCCTCTCCCCCGTCCCACCCACGCTCACAGCACTGGCCCTTCCCCAGAACACTGGGGGTCTGTCTGCTCGCCCACATACCTTGGAGCCTGGTCTCTGTGCTGACGCACTGAATGTCCCTCTCTGGAGTGGCTTGCCCCAGCTTCTCAGACAGTCCGGACAAGCAGGCAACTCTGGCTAGAGAGATTCAGCATATGTGTTTTCAGGGTAATGGCAGGACTTGTAGGAGGGTGTTGGGGGGAGGGAATAAAGAACTAGGTAAACACTGCAGTGAACATCCACCCCCCTCCCAATTTACAACAAAGAAAGCTTGTCAAAGGAACTTCAAAGCCATTTGAAAGAGAAATAAGTTTATAAAGGAATAGCCCAAGGTGGCAGTTTAGAATTTGGGATGAGAAAAGCTGTCGTATGGATTCAGTCAGGGAGGTGGGTCTGGATATAAGGGGGGGGGGGTTGAGCTTTGTGAGAGGCTGGCTCCAGGTAGAAGTTGGCAGAGAGAGGTGCTTTGGAATCAGAAAATATTTCAACTTGAATGCATACCATCCAGGCCTCCTCTTTCCTTCCATGCATATTTCTTTTGTGACTTTTTCCTCCTTCAGCTGCCTCCACCCAGTTCTTTATAACACATTCCCACATGTTCCAGAGAATGGGTGATTACTTTAGAGCCATTCTGGAAGAGGGGTGATAGACCCAGAAAGTCACAGACAGCACTCTCTCCCCCTTCTCCTTTTCCCACCCACCCACTCTCTAGAATATGATTGTTTGTTGTCGGTGGTATTTCCATTTAGGATGGGGGACTCTGGGTGGTGGGCACTTTGAGGAAAGACTTGTAGGATGGCTGTGTAAAAACCTCCCCCTACCCCCACAGTTTTTAGCCATCAGTTCAATCCCCCAGTGGCCCAAGAGCCCCCCTCTTCCCTCCCAAGGAGTAACTATACAGCTGCTCTGATTCACAAGAACCTGGAAGAGCTGTTGTCGTCGGAGACATTCACAACCAATCCTTCTGGATCTCCCAAAGCCAAGGCCTCAGAGATGGGTGTGGAGTGTCCAGCTAGACCCGTGCACTCTGAGTGGCCAGCCCCACAGCCCCTTCACTGACTCTTCCAGTCAGCATTTCCTGAGTGCCCACTTTGTGCAGACACTACACAGCAAGGCTGCTGTGGGCACAGTCACATCCACTTTAGTGAAGCCTGCAAGAAGCCATGTCTGGGTGGTCAGTAGGGGTCTGTAGCCTGGTCCTGTCTCTCCTAGGAGCCTGAGCCAGTGGAGGATTGTGTGCAGAGCACACTCGCCGCCCTGTACCCACCCTTCGAGGCAACAGCTCCCACTCTGTTGGGCCAGGTGTTCCAGGTGGTTGAGAGGACTTATCGGGAGGATGCACTGAGGTACACTCTGGACTTCCTGGTACCCGCCAAGCACCTGCTTGCCAAGGTCCAGCAGGAAGCCTGTGTGAGTGGTCACGCATCCTTGAGATTCACTGCCTTGCTTTAAAGACTAGCCAGGCTGACTAACTTCCCCTCTTCCTGAGATACAACCTCTCCCTCAGAGGCACTTAAACCTCATTCACTGACCTCCCCCAGACCGTGACCCTCAGAAGCGCTGATCACTTGGATGCTAGCATGCATACCCAGAAATATCCATCTTTCCCAAGTGTTAATGCCTAAGAACATTAGATCTAGACAAGACACAATCCTAGACCTTTCTCTCATATCAACTTCTCAAGATAGTAACTCCCCAGATGTAACTCAGCAGAGAACCTTCATTTCTGCAGATACAAAGACTGCCTTGGCATCTTTGACTCCTCCAAGACAACAGCATCTGCTGACCATATCTTTGCAATGACTCAGTTCTTGCCCTCCCCTATATGGACTGACTTTCACTAGATTCCTACCCCCAGAAGGCTAACCAACCCCACGCCCTTCCTCTAAGCCACATGAACGCACACACACACACCCAAGACAACCTGCTCCCCTAGGATTTTTACACATCACAGTGCCTGATGTGGTGCTATAGGATTGTCAGTTCAAACCCACCAGCTGCTCTCTGGAAACCCTATCCAGAGTTGAGATGAGTCCGAACTGATTTGATAGCACTTAACAACAATAATGACAAGTCACAAGGCCAATGCTGCCCGGGGTGGGTCTATTCTAACTGCCCTTTCCTGCTGGCTTTGTCAGCAGAGGCCTGATTACAGCCTCCCACTCTCTCCCCAGGCCCAGTACAGTGGTTTCCTCTTCTTCCATGAGGGCTGGCCTCTCTGCCTGCACGAGCAGGTGGTGGTACAGCTAGCATCTCTGCCCTGGCAGCTGTTGCGCCCAGGAGACTTCTACTTGCAAGTCGTGCCCTCAGCAGCCCAAGCACCCCGCCTGGCACTCAAGTGCCTGGCCCCAGGGGGTGGGCGGGTACAGGAGCTGCCTGTGCCCAATGAGGCCTGTGGCTACCTATTCACACCTGAGTGGCTACAAGGCATCAACAAGGACCGGCCAGCAGGTCGCCTCAGTACCTGCCTCCTGTCTGCACCCTCTGGGATTCAGCGGCTTCCCTGGGCTGAACTCATCTGTCCACGATTTGTGCACAAAGAAGGTGCCATGGTTGGACATAGGCCAAACACACTGCCCCCAGAGCTACCCTCTGGACCCCCAGGACTCCCTAGCCCTCCACTACCTGAGGAGGCCTTGGGAACCCGGAGTCCCGGCGATGGGCACAATGCCCCTGCTGAAGGACCCGAGGGCGAGTACGTGGAGCTGTTGGAAGTGACGCTACCCATGAGGGGGAACCCTACAGATGCTGAGGGATCCTCTGGCCTCTCCAGAACTCGGACAGTACCCACCCGCAAGGGGGCTGGAGGGAAAGGCCGGCACCGGAGACACCGGGCATGGATGCACCAGAAGGGCCTAGGGCTTCAGGACCAGGATGGGGCACGCCCACCCGGGGAGGGGAGCAGCACTGGAGCCACCCCTGGGTCTCCCCTAGGAGCTGAAGCTCTCCCAGAGGCAGCACTCCTGGAGGGGCCTGAGCCCCCAGCACGACCCCTAGGGGAGGCTTCTGAGTCTTGCCTCTTAAGGCCAGGGGAAGTTGGAGCAGGGGCAGGCCAGGGGGCTGAGGGACCACCTGGCACCCCTCGGAGAACAGGCAAAGGAAATAGGAGAAAAAAGAGAGCTGCAGGCAAAGGAGCACTTAGTCGAGGAGGAGACAGTGTTCCACTGAGCCCTGGGGACAAGGAAGAGAACAGCTACCAGGAAGCCCTGGTCAATCTGCCACCACCAAACGAGCAAGAGCTTCCAGAAAGCAGCCTTGTTAAGGAGGAGCATGAAGACTCAGGAAAGCCCAAATCTGAGCCAACAGAGGAGCTGAAATCAGCAGAGGAGAAAGAGCCCTGGCCCTCAGAGGTCTGCACACCTCCAGAAGAGGGAGCCCAGGAGACAGAGCAGGAAGGACCAAGCCTAGTATGTATGGCAGGTGAGCTAACACCAAGTCCAGTGGGGTAAGGGCCAGAGCAGGTGGGCCCTATGAAAGGGGGCTGGAGGAGGAGCAGGGCAGAACTGTCAGACCCATCCTCACTTCAAGCCCACCGTTCTACCTATGTCTGTGCAGGTCCCGCATCCCTGGAGACTGGGCAGGATGGGAAAGGCATCCCAAAAGAGGCCCCTCCCGTCTCCATCTCTGATGACCTGGACATACCTTGGGACTTGATGGCATCTGGATTCCTTATTCTAACTGGTCAGTGGTCATCAGTGGGTAAATGGGAAAGACAGCCAATTGAGGAAGACTTGGAAGGGAGGCAGGCTGGATGGGAGGTAGCCAAGGACTGCCCCCAACCAGGACAGCCTGGCCGTTTTGTGTCCTCAGGAGGTGTAGACCACAGTGGGCGAGCTCTGCTGACCATGACCCCACCATGCCCTCCTGAGGAGCCCCTACCCTCTGGAGCCATGCTGAGCACTGCCCTTCATTACCTTCACTCACTGCTCAGGTAACTGAGGCCCAGCACTAGCACCCTGAACAGTAACCTCCCGACTCATAAGTTAGGACACTGACCTTTTAGGACACTGACCACCTGACTCTTGGACACCTATTGCTTTAACTCTCAGGTTGTCAAGATCTTGACCTCTGATCTTACTGACTCCTGACCTCCAGGATAATATCTTCATCAATCCTCAGAATGAACCGCCCTGATTTTCAATATCCTAAGTAGCGTAGTGGTTACGAATCGGGCTGTGAACCTTAAGGTCTGCAGTTCGAAACTACCAGCTGCTCCATGGGAGAAAGATGAGGCTTTCTGCTCCTGTAAAGATTTACAGCCTCGGAAACCCTGTTCAGGGTCGCTATGGGTCGGAACCGACTCGACGGCACTTAACAACAACTGCCTATTGTGTGCCATACTAAGTGTTGACATTTAATCCACACCTTTCCAGAACATGTTGTTGTTGTGAAGTGCCGTTGAGTCAGTTCCGACCCATAGCGACCCTGTATAGGGTTTCCGAGGAGCAGCTGGTGAGCTTGAACTGCCGACCTTGCAGTTCAAACAGCTTTGCAGTCTGGCGCATTAACCCACAGCGCCACACCAGGACTCCAGAACATAGAGTTCCTTAACTTTCCAGATCCTGATCCCTTGACCCAGTAGCTGTGTGAATATAACAAAGTCACCACCAGACACATATCCCAGATTTTAGCCTTTTAACTACCATATGAGGAACTAACTTCCAGTGACTATTACCACTAAAGGTAGATCCTGTGCCTCTGTACTGCCCTGTCCACATCCTACCTCTCCCAACCCACATGGTAGCCTCCTTAGCTCTTCCTGCCCCCACAGACCTGATCTACAGATGTTGGGGCTATCCGTGCTACTGGACCTTCGTAAGGCTCCCCCACTGCCTCCAGAACTCATTCCTGCCCTGAGTCTACTTCAGGTAAACACTCCCTTGCAACCGATAAATTCCCTTCATCTTAACTCTTTCCTGGGGACCATTTTAAGCCACCTAATTGCCCACAGTTGAGAGTAATTCCCATCTGCCCATAGGACTCAGGAGACCCTCTCATCATTCAGCGACTACTGTTTCTCATTCATGATGACCCTCCAACTGATCTCTGTCGATTTCAGGTTTGATCCCTTCATTCCCCTCCTAGTTCCCCATCTGTAGTAAAGAGTGAAGGGGCTAGTTGGAGCCCCAGGCCAGAAATCCCCTGCCTTCATATGTCTACAGCGTGCTGAGTTGTTATCAGAGAATGACCTGAAAAGAGTGGCCAAGCCAGAGGAACTTCCGTGGAACTTGGGGGGCCACAGGAAGCCCTCTCCCAACTACTGGGTAGAGATACATCAGGTAAGCATCACCTGGACACGGGGAGTCAAGAATGATCCAACTAACAATATTCTAGACAAGAGAACAGATCTGAGATATGGCCAGGGAGTTGGGAAAAAGTGTTTTCCTTTCCATTCAATTTAATAAGTATTTACTGAGCATTTACTATTGGTAAACTATTGTGCTTTGTACCATGGCTACTGTGGGAGATGGGAGAAGTAGGTTAAATAAATTCTTAATATGACATTAAGTAGCATATGATTTGGGGTGGGACATAAATCATAAAACAATAGGGAAAGAGTGGAAAATAGTGTCATTGTGGTTCTGGGAAGAGCTGAGAGTCGGGAAGACTGGTTATGTATAGTTCTGTGTGACCCTAGACATGTTCCGCATGTCCTGAGATGGTGCCCTTTCCCTTTCCCTGTACCAACACCCAGACCTCAGGATTCTCATACACAAAGTACAGTAATTACGTGACCTCTCAGGTCCTTCCAGCACTTACCTTTCATGATTCTGTGAATCAAAGTGCTGTGAGTAGTCTAGAAGAAAGGAAAGATGAGAGCTGAGTATTAAGGGGGATCTGTAACATGATCGCTAAGATATGTAGCTATGACTGGGCAGAAAGATTTTCCATAGCGAAAATCCTGTGCAGAAGGAAAGAGCGCTCCAATGTATTGAGTTGCGTAGTGTGCCCATGCTAGATGCTGAACTGGCATCATCTCTTTAAACCTCCAAAAAACCTGTGTGTCTCATCCAGAGTTAACAGTTGAGCAAACTGAGATTCAGGAAATATTCCTGGACCTGCCCAAAGTCATAGAACCAATAAGAGGCCAAATCAGGAACTGAACCCAACTTTATCTCCATAAAAGAGCCTAAACCCACACCTAACCTCTGTCCCTTGATCCCATTTCAGGAAGTGGCAAGGCTGTGCCACCTGTGCCAAGGGGTGCTGGGCTCTGTGCGGAAGGCCATTGAGGAGCTGGAGGGAGCAGCCAAGCCAGAGGGAGAGGTAGGAAATGAGATGAGGCAGCAGGGGATGGGATGGGCCTGGGATTGGGCTGGTGTGGAGAGTGGGTAGAGGAAACCTGTCAATTTCCTCCTGCCCCTAGGAGGCGGTGGGAATGCCCGAGCCCCTGCAGAAGGTGCTGGCAGATCCCCGGCTGACAGCGCTGCAGAGGGATGGGGGAGCAATCCTGATGAGGCTGCGCTCCACCCATAGCAGCAAGTATGGGGGAACGGGTGTGTGGAGGCAGGTGGAATTGGGAGGTGGAGTACCCAACAGGGCTGCCACTAATTCTTAGCTGCCAAGTGATTCTTATTGAGCATGTATCTGGTCACGATATCGTGCTTTGACACATAGCCCTGACACCGTCCTTGTGTGGTGGTTAGGATTGGCAAATGGAGACTTGTAGGAGCAAAACTGTTAAGTGTCTTGGCCACAGCCACTCAGTAAATGGAAGAATCAGGATTCAAATTCAGGCAGTCTGAGCCTGATCTATACACTCATCCTTGATGCTATACCACCTCTCATGCTTGCATCCTCATATTGAAGGAATATCAGGATGGAATTCGGACTCTCTACAAGGGCTAAAGTTTTCTGCTCCCGTCCTTTCCCCAGGCTGGAGGGCCCAGGCCCAGCCACATTGTATCAGGAGGTAGATGAAGCTATTCACCAGCTTGTGCGCCTCTCCAACCTACGTGTTCAGCAGCAAGAACAGCGGCAACGCCTCCAGCGACTCCAGCAGGTGAGCCAGGACCCCCATGCTTCTCCCACTCAGCCTATTAGCGAGGCCTCCTGCACCACTGTTTCCAGTGACATTAGCAGTTGATGGTGTTCTAGCTTAGCTCCGCGTGGCTGAACACCCCCTCCCTCTCTCCTCACCTGCCCTCAAGTTTGGTCATGGTCAGTGTGCGATTCAATAAGAGGGTGGGGATATCTCTGCCACCAGAAAGAAGAGAAGCCAGTTTGCTCCTCCTCACTGTTTATGTTTGATCTTACAAATTGTGAGAGATGCTCTGATGTTCTAGGAGATTCTGAAAAGAGTTGTCTCTGAAGTTCCTATCCCCCTAGCTAAAAAATAATACATATCTCTTTAGCTATATGACATTACACAATGTCCTCCTCTAAACCGATTCTAGAGAGGTCCCACCTGCCTCCACCTTGGAAGGAGAGGGCATTGAAAGTCAGTAGATGTCTTGGGAACTATAGACACCTAAGTGAGGAAGATGCAGGACTAGCAGCTAGCCTCTTTGTACCTTGGTTCTTCTATCCTATCTTTAAGAACACTTTAGAGATTTGCTCTTCACCTTACCATGTGGGATAGAATAGGGATTGAAATCTGGTGAGTGAAGACTTCATAGAACTTGAACAAGTGCAGCAAGAAAAGGGCTTTCTGTTTCCTGTGATTTCTTCATATTGGTTTCTTTTATCCCAACATAAATTTGAACCACAAGGTAGGCAGTTCAAACTCACCAATCCCTCCTTGGAAACCCTATGCTGGGTCACTATGAGTCGAAACAGACTTGATGGTACTTAACAACAAATCCCAACATCCAAAGGGTTGCATCTCCTATTGTCTGTTTGCTTGTTTGCTTTTTATCTGCTGTTTCAAAACTTTGTTCAAAAAATGTTAGCATACAGGATTTGGATTCTGAAGTACTGTTTGAGTTCTAGGTGTGAGAAGTTAGGCTAGTCTTGAAGCTTTTCTAAGTCTCCAAGTCCTCATCCATACAATAGCGGTGATATTAACACTTCACTCAAAAGGATGTCAGTCAGTGGATTCAGACTATACATTGTTGACACTGGTTATAACGAACAGTCTCAGACTTCTCTTCCTCAGACTATCCCACCCCAGCTTCCAGCCTTTCTCCAAAGGAAAAAAAAAAAAATAGCCATCTCTTTTTGGCCAAATATTCCAGCATCAGTGTTGCTATATTTCCCAGAACAGGCAAAGCTAGCTGAACAGGCAAGCACGCATACACGCGCACATACACACGCGGCCACCCTCAGTGTCATCTCTCCAAACCTGGTCCTAGGACTCTTGTCCACCATTTGCTACAGGTTCACTTGGCACCAAAGAAAATCGATGAAATGAAATTTCTCCTGGCCCTTGGATATCCAAACAACCCTCATCCTGCCTCTTGTCACTTTACTCTTTTATCCAGTTTATTCTTCAGGCATAGCCTGGGAACTCTAATGCAGCTCAGCTTCCCCATCACCTGGTGCTTTATAAAAGACTTCTTACTCACTCTCTCACTTCACCTCTGTGGCAACTATCACCATTCCTATGATTATTCCTACTTTTCAGATGAAATGAAATGGGCCACCCAAGATTCTGGATTGGGGTGATGGGGTTGGAACTGGATATCGGCCTGCTCTTTCCTGTCCACTATATGGCCTTCGTCCCCCTCATGGCCCTGCTCTCCCACCCCATCTGCCACAGGTGCTTCAGTGGCTCTCGGGCCCTGGAGAGGAGCAACTGGCAAGCTTTGCAATGCCTGGGGACTCCCTGTCTGCTCTGCAAGAGACAGAACTTCGATTCCGGGCTTTCAGTGCTGAAGTTCAGGTGAGGAAGGAATAGGAGCAGGGATAGGAGCAGGGAGGGAGGATGAGAGATTAACTGAAAGTGATGACCAGATCTGAACACAGTCTCCCTTTTCCAGGAGCGTCTGACCCAGGCACGGGAGGCCCTATCTGTGGAGGAGGACCTGGCCTCCCAGAAGATTCTGGATATCTTTGAACAGCGGCTGGAGCAGATGGAGAGTGGCCTCCATCGGACCCTGCGGCTTCAGCGTTTCTTCCAGCAGGTATGTGCAGAGCCTTTTCTTTCTGTACCTACTACTGCCCTTCCTTTGCCTGGAGTGGTCAGACAGCATAGACTCAGGAGCCCATGTCCTTGACTTTGAACCCTAGCTTTGCAGCCTACTGTCTGAAGGACTTGGAGCAAAGTACTAACCCGGAAGGTGCCTCAGTAAGTCAGTGTGAGGACTGCATGAAGCAATAGTTAAAAAGCTCTCAGTACAGAGGCTGCTACTCTGTAATAAGTATTAGGATTGGCTAGTCTTTCATCTGTAGTCCTGGTGTGGTGCTGTGGGCTAATGTGCGGGACTGCAATGTCAGTTTGAACCACAAGGTCAGCGGTTCAAGCCCACCAGTTCCTCCTAGGAAACCCTATACTGTAGGTCAAAACTGACTGGATTGCATTTAACAATGACAACATTCTTTTATCAAGGTTCCTCTGTCTCCATAACAAATCAAACCAGTTGCCACTGAGTTGATTCAGATTCAAGTAGATATAGTCCCTGGATGGTGCAAATCACTAAGACATTTGGCTGCTAACTGAAAGGTTGATGGTCCAAGTCTCCTCAGAGGTGACTTAGAAGAAAGCCCTGGCAATCTACTGCTGTAAACTCAGCGACAGAAAACCCTATAGAGCATGGGATCTCCATGAGTTAGAATTGGCTCAAACCCTATAGAGCATGGGATCTCCATGAGTTAGAATTGGCTCAAACCCTATAGAGCACGGGATCTCCATGAGTTAGAATTGGCTCAATGGCAACTTTTTTTTTATTTTCCTGTCTCCATATGAACTCAAGAGAGAGAGTGATTCAGGGATATTGAGAAGTGGTGTTCTGAGGTGATGGGAAGGGGAATGGACAGTAGGAGGTCATCCACAAAAGAGGTCAAGAGCTATTGTTGGGTGTGTGGGAGCAGCACAGGACCTCACACCGTTCTCTCCCCATTTCTAACCCTTCTGACCTTATAGGCACATGAGTGGGTAGATGAGGGTTCTGCCCGGCTGGCTGGGGCTGGGCCAGGTCGGGAGGCTGTGCTGGCAGCCTTGGCCCTGCGTCGAGCTCCGGAGCCCAGCGCTGGCACCTTCCAAGAGATGAGGGCCCTGGCCCTGGACCTGGGCAGCCCAGCAGCATTACGAGAGTGGGGCCGATGCCGGGCTCGCTGCCAAGAGCTGGAGAGGAAGATTCAGCAACAACTGGGAGAGGAGGCAAGTCCAAGGGGCCACCGGCGAAGACGGGCAGACAGCACCAGCAGTGGAGGGACCCAGCGGAGCTCCCATAGTCCCTCACCCAGCCTCAGCTCCCTGCTGCTCCCCAGCAGCCCAGGACCAAGGACAGTCCCATCCCATTGCTCTCTGACCCCCTGTGGGGAGGACTGTGAGGAGGAGGGCCCTGAGCTGTCTCCAGAAGCAGAGGTCAGGCCCCCACGGGCTGTGCTAATCCGAGGCTTGGAGGTCACCAGTACCGAAGTGGTAGATAGGACATGCTCACCACGGGAACACGTGCTGCTGGGCCGAGCCGGGGGGCCAGATGGACCCTGGGGAGTAAGCACCCCCCGGATGGAGCGCAAGCGAAGTATCAGGTGAGAGTCCAGCCCAGTTGGTCCCAAGAGGGGAAATAATATGGCATTGTTGGAGGTGGCAAGTCTCTGTTGAGCCCCAGGTAACACCTCTGCTACTTCCTGCTGTTGCTACAGTGCCCAGCAGCGTCTGGTGTCTGAGCTGATTGCCTGCGAGCACGAGTACCTGGCTATTCTGAGTGAGACAGTGCCACCCCCTGGACCTGAGCTGACCCCTGAACTGCGGGGCACCTGGGCCAATGCCCTGAGTACCCGAGAGAAGCTTCATAGCTTCCACCGGACACACTTTTTGCGGGAACTTCAGGGCTGCGCCACCCACCCTCTGCGCATCGGGGCCTGCTTCCTTCGTCATGTGAGTTTTCCTCCAAAACTCTTCCCAGGTGCTCTCCCGTCATGTGTTCCAGCCCCATCACTTGCCTTCCTTCTCATTACCCTCTTCCTCCTCCAAATGTGGGATCCAAGGCCCTGGGGTCCAGGTCTATTCTCTGTGTCCCTGTCCTCACAGGCTGCCTAAGTTTCACTCTCTCCACGGGGGAACCATCATTTCCTGCACAGACCTAATGCTTTCTGGTGGCCGAGTGTCCTATGGGCAGCAGTGTGGGATGGAGGACGGGTGGAGAGGCTTGTCTGTAGGACCTCACTAGAGATGGTTTACCTCTTCTTTACTGGTACAGGGGGACCAGTTCAACCTTTACGCCCAGTACGTGAAACACCGACACAAACTGGAGAATGGTCTGGCTTCACTCAGCGCCCCCACCAAGGTAACCTTTTCTCCAAACTTCACGGGAAGGGCAGCGGGATCAGGAAGACCTAAAACCCTGCTAACCTCAAAATGTCTTCGGGGGGGAAAAAGCTTTCTTTGATGTGCCCAGGTACCTCACCTACCAATAGCATCCCCTCGAATTGACACAATGAATTCAAGCATAGCAAAGACTGTGAGCTCCAGTCACCCCTGCTTAAACAGCCTAGCTCTGTGATTTCATAAGACAGGCCAGTGTTTCGTTCTGCTGTGCCTAAGTTCTCTTTGAGTCGGAACTGACTTGGCAGTACCTAACAGCAATAACAACAATTGATGATTGTAGGACAGGCACTGGATTGGGGGTCAAGTGAGCCTGGACCCTTACCTATTCCACTTCAGGGACCTTGGGCAAGACTCTTGACTCTTCTGAGCCTCTATTATTTTCTCTGGTAAATGGAGCAGTATTCACTATACCTATGACTTCACATCAGAAGATATGAAAATGGCTGGCAAAGGGAAAAGCAGAAAGTATAATTATCATTCTTATTCCTCTACCATTTCCCCTCAAGACATAAAGGGGGACTGACTTTTCCACCTGCTTTCTTTCTCAGGGGCAGGTGTTTGGAGTCGCCTTTTGAAGTATCATTGAAGTCCTGGTGTGGTGCTGTAGGATAAGCACTGGACTGCTGACTGAAAGGTCGGCAGTTCATACCCACCAGGCACTCCCTCCTCGGAAACCCTATACAGGGACTCATGGGTGGTAGTTATGTCCTGTGGAGTTGGTTACGACTCATAGCAACCCTGTATGGGGTTTCCGAGGCTCTAAATATTTACGGGAGCAGAAAGCTTCATCTTACTCCCGTGAAACAGCTGATACTTTCGAACTGCTGACCTTGAGGTTAGCAGCCCTACTCGTAACCACTATGCTACCAGAGCTCCTTACAGGGACTCCTACTCACTATGAATCAGAACATACTTGACAGCACTTACCTACAACAACGACGCTATGAGTCAGTATCAACATAAGGGCAACTAACAACAACAAGGTTTCATCTAAAAAGGTGATGGGTAGCTCAAGGAATCTGGGATTGATTGGCTGCTAACCTAAAGGTTGGTAGCTACCCAGTGGCCCCATGGAAGAAAGGCCTAATGAACTGCTTCTATAAAGATTACAGCCAAGAAGACCCTAAGGAGCGTTTTGCTCTGTAACACACAGAGTCTCCATGAGTTGGGGGCCTAACTCTATGGCAGGCAACAACAGGATTCATCTACATCCAAAAGCCTGGGAAGCCACCTACCTTCCTCCCCTAGTGCTTGGCCTCCACCAGCTCCCGCCCCTCCCCTCATCCATGTCTTTCTCCTCCCTGACCTAGGGCTCCATGGAGGGGGGCCCTCACCTGCCCCGGGCCCTGCAGCATCCCCTAGAGCAGCTGGCTCGCTACGTGCGGCTTCTGGAGGAGCTTCTGAGAGAAGCTGGGCCTGAGCTGAGTTCTGAGCGCCAGGCACTTGGGGCTGCTGTGCGGCTGCTCCGGGAACAAGAAGCCCGGGGCAGAGACCTGCTAGCCGTGGAGGCAGTGCGTGGCTGTGAGGTGAGACCATAGCTCCAGTCACCCATGCTTAAACAGCCTAGCTCTGTGATTTCATAAGCAATGTGTGCTGGTGACAAGAAAACTGGACTCAAGGTCAGAGGGCCCCAAGCTCTTCTTTCTAACCAGCTGGGTGGTCTAAGCTAAGTCACTGAATTTCACTGGGCCTCAGTCTCCTCATCTGTAAATAAGGAAGCTATGTCCTACTGACTTTTAAGCCCTAATTCCAAATCTGCCTTGTGCCCTTGTATTCCTTTTCTAATTCTTATATTTCCTCATCTACACTATACCTCCTCCTGCATCTCAGCATTTAACACAGACCTTATTCTCCTCTACATTGTCTCTTTTCCAGCCCAAAATTTCCAGGATAGGCTTAACACCATGCTACCTCCTCCGGGACAGGCCTCTTTCTCGCCAATTCTTTGCTGCTTCTCTTCCTAGGGCAAAATGGTGCTTCCATTCCCGACATGCAGCCTCCCCTTGGGTGACTGTAAACCTTACTGTGCAATGTACCTTCTCGGCCATCCATAGTAGTGACCAGTGCATGGATTCTAAGCTGATGGCCTTCTGACTTCCTGACTGCCCCAAACCCCTCACCTTATAAATCCTGTTTTTACTTCCCACAAAACACACACTGAGAACTCTTGAGCCAATGGCCTTTCCTTTTTCTTCCCTCAGATAGATTTGAAGGAGCAGGGACAACTCCTGCATCGAGACCCCTTCACAGTCATCTGTGGCAGAAAGAAGTGCCTTCGTCATGTCTTCCTGTTTGAGCACCTCCTCCTCTTCAGCAAGCTAAAGGGTGCTGAGGGAGGGTCTGAGACCTTTGTTTACAAGCAGGCCTTTAAGGTACTTTGCCTGGAGTGAAGTGTGGGTTAGCCAGACATTCTCTTCTTGAGAACTTAGGTGCTCTGGAAACTCAGTCCTAAACCAAATCTAGAATTTGCATCATCTGGTAATAGGCTGTGGCCTATAATCAGTCACTAAGTCCAGGTGTCATTGGTTCATGCAGGAAGCTCACCAGGCATTCCTTGAGTCCAGAGTGGAGACGGACCCTTCCCATTCAGGCAGTCCTGGGAGATAGGGAGAAAGGCACTGTGGAGACAGCCTCACTTGACTGAACTGAATGAAGGACCTGGGAGAGGGGCTCTAGAGAAATTGCCGTGTTGTCTTGACAAACATCCACAGCAATCTATGATCTTGGGCTTGGCAGATTGGGATGATTCTAAAGGTTTCTAGACATAATCTCTCTACCTTAGTTCCAGCTCTTCAGGAAGGATACTCTAGAGCAGGGGTGGGGAACCTATTTTCTACCAAAATTTATAACATCATTCACGGGCCATACAAAATTATCAACTTAAAAATTAGCCTCCTGTATTTGGTCAGAGGAGTTCTGGTAGCGTAGTGGTTACAAATCAGGCTGCGAACCGCAAGGTCAGCAGTTCAAAACTATCAGCTGCTCCATGGGAGAAAGAGGAGGCTTTCTGCTCCCATAAAGATTTACAGCCTCAGAAACCCTGTTCAGGATTGCTATGGGTCAGAACCGACTCGATGGCACTTAACAACACCACCATATTTGGTCAAATGTTTCATTAACTCACCCGAATGTGCTGGCTGGAATAGTGGTTGCCTTGGCAGGACCAGGCCACCCCTGCGCTCGAGTACAGAAGAAACGACGTAGGTTTATAATTACAGATACAGGTTCAAATCCTAATAAGCTATTATATACACTTGGGAAAGTCACTTCATATCTCTGGGCCCCGTTTCTCCTTCTGTAAGTTAGGTTTGTTATGAAAACTAAATGTTGAGTACTTGGCACATGGTTGGTGTTGAGCAAACATTGACTGAACACCTACCTACCAGATAGCAAGCACTAGGTTAAGTATAGTCTCTGCCCATGTGCTGCTGTCTCGCCAGGACACCTCCATCTCATCCATTCTCTTTGCTCTTCCTCAGACTGCTGACATGGGGCTGACAGAGAATATCGGGGACAGCGGGCTCTGCTTTGAGCTGTGGTTTCGGCGGCGGCGGGCTCGAGAGGCATATACTCTGCAGGCAGCCTCACCAGAGATCAAACTCAAATGGACAAGTTCTGTTGCCCAGCTGCTGTGGAGACAGGCAGCACACAACAAGGGTACTGGGCAGCACTGGGGAAGGGTGTGCTTGGAGCCAGTTACAGTAGAAAGGTATCTGGAGAGTGCAGAGACCATTTGGGAAAACAGGGGTTAATATGAACCAAAAATGATTTATGAAAAGACAAAAGATCTGGCTTGAGAGGTCACAGTAATATAAATGAGTCTAAATTGTACCAAAAAGGAAGAGAAAGCAAACAAATTTCAGCGATGCAAGAGCCAATGGCTAGACAAAGGGTGGCAAGACACTATTTACAGGACTTGGGTTCAAAATCTGACACCGTTTACTTGCTGTATCATCTGAACTAGGTTAATTTTGCTTTGGTGTGGTTTTGCTGGTCCACCCAAGTGGTTTTTACTTATTGTTCATGCATATTTTGTTTTGAAGTCCCTGAATCTCATTGCACTCATCTGAAAAAGAGAGCTAGCCATATTTACATCTTAGCATAATAAATCAAAACCAAAAGCCAAACCAAATACCATCGACTTCATTTCAAGTCAGAGTGACCTTTAGAATGGGGGAGAACTGTCCCATAGGGTTTCTAAGGCTGTCATCCTTAAGAAAGTTAACTGCCATGTCTTTCTCCTACAGATCACCTGGTGGGCTCAAACCACCACTGGGTTACCAGGGCTTCCCTCAGCATGATAATGAGGACTAAATAGGGTTATGTGGTTGGTTGTTAAGTGCTGTTGGAGTTGGTTCTGACTCATAGCAACCCTGTGTAGGGATTCCAAGGAGCACCTGGTGAGTTTGAACCCCTGACCTTGTGGTTCAAACTGACCTTGCGGTCCAATATTTTATCCGACAGTGCTACACCAGGACTCCTAAATAAGGTTTTATGTGTCCAGCTGATCTCAGAAGCTAAGCAGGGTCAGGCCTGGTTAGTACTTGCATAGGAGACCACCTGGGAATACCAGGTACAACAGACTTTAGGACTTCTGGTATGGTACTGTAGGAGCAGTACTGTACTACAAACCAGAAGATCGGTAGTTCAAACCCACCAGCTGCTCTTTGAAAACCCTATACAGGTCGCTGTGAGTCAGAATCAACTCAACAGCACTTAACATCATATATAACCTATAGCACCACACCAGGACTCCTATACATATTGTCGTGAAATGCCATCAAGTTGATTCCGACCCATAGTGACCCACTATAAGGTTTCCGAGGAGTGCTGCTGATGAGCTTGAACCACCGACCTTGCGGTTTAAACCGACTTTGCAGTCCAGCACATTAGCCCACAGCTCTATATACATATAGAGTCTTGGTGTGGTGCTATAGGATAAGCACTGGACCACAAGGTCGGTTTGAGCATTAAGGTCAATGGTTCAAATTCACCAGCCACATCTTGGAAACCCTATACAAAGTCGCTATGAGTTTGAACCAACTCAACTGCACTTAAAAGCAACATATATAGAAGTCTTCTGTGTGGTGCTGTGGGTTAATGCCCTGGGCTTCAAAGTCAGTTTGAGCCACAAGGTCAGCAGTTCAAGCTCACCAGATGCTCTTTGAAAACCCTATACAGGGTCGCTATGGGTTGGAACTGACTCAATGGCACTTAACAATAACAACAGTATATATACAGAGAGAGAGATACATATACATATATTCCTACATACATAAACACTTTACAAACCTGTAAAGGTATGTAGAAATGTGAGTTTTGCTCCCCATGCCCAAGATAAGTGGGTATTAGAAGTTTAGTGGCTGGGATACCAAAGGAGCAGGATGTAACATATAAGAGATGGATATGTCCTAAGAAGGAAGTCAAAGACTACCACCACATCCATGTCACAACAGCCAATGGGAAGAGTAACAAGAGACTCCAGAGGAATGAGAGCTGAGAAGAAGCCAACAGAAGAGTCAACCATGACAATGCTAGGGCAGCAACACAGGAGAAGCAGAAGGTTGGTAACAGGGTTTCTGTTTCTCAGAGCTCCGAGTGCAGCAGATGGTCTCCATGGGCATTGGGAATAAACCTTTCCTGGACATCAAAGCCCTTGGGGAGCGGACGCTGAGTGCCCTGCTCACTGGAAGAGGTGAGGGCCAAAGGATTGTGGGGTGGTCCCCAGAAGTGAGACTTTGAGAATAGGGGCACAATGGGGAGGCATGGTGGCGTGAGGAAGGGAAATGAGTGGGCATCTCTTCCCAAAAGTTATGGGACTGACTGGGAGGCCCTCTATGAGACTGAGGGTCCTTTCAGGGAGCCAGGAGGGCTTTCCCATACCAGCACCCCACCCTCCCCACCCCCACTCTCTGCAGCCGCGCGTACCCGGGCCTCTGTGGCCGTGTCATCTTTTGAGCATGCCGGCCCCTCCCTTCCCGGCCTCTCGCCGGGAGCCTGCTCCCTGCCTGCCCGCGTCGAGGAGGAGGCCTGGGATCTGGACATCAAGCAAATTTCCCTGGGTGAGGCACCTCTCAAGGGTGGCTCCCAACAGCTGGGTCATCATAGTGATGTTCAGGCTGCTTGCTGCTGAGCAATTCCTCTTTCTAGCCAAGTAGCCCAGTTGTCATGGCAACTATGGACAGCTTCCCCATTGCTAAAAGAACCTTCCATCTGGTTACTAGGGTGATGCTTACAGCAACCTGTTGCTAAGAAGCACTTCCTCTGTACCTCTCTCCGGCTCTATTGGGGTTTCTATGGAAACTTCCTCAGCTTCCTGTTGTACACTCCTGGTTCACCACGGCAACCTGGCAATCCTTAGTTTCCTGTTGCTTCTTCCCTGGTTGCTCTAATGATGCTGCTGACAATTTCCTGCCTCATGGTAGGGGGGGTTCTCTTGCAACTGGATTGCTACAGTGACTCACAGCCTCCTGTTGCTATGGATCTTTCTCCTCCCTGATGGAGCAGCTTGGTTGCTTAAGATGATCTGGAAAGGTTCTATATTCTGTTCTCACTGTAGCTTCCCCTCTAGCCCCAGAAACACTAGACTCTTCTGGAGATGTGTCCCCAGGACCAAGAAACAGTCCCAGTCAGCAACCCCCTCACCCTGGGAGCAGCACTCCCACTCTGGCCAGTGGAGGGATCTTAGGGTTATCCCAGCAGGTAAGTCACTACAATATGATCTCTGTGGCCACTTTCCGGGTGGCCTTTTCTCATCATTGACCATGTTGAGGTGGGGGGAAGCAGTGATCCTGTGCTTCTAACTGAGGCCACAGATTGGATGTATTGTCTAGTCTGCCTCTCTCTACAACTCCATGCCCAGCTGGGAAGCATCCAAGATGGAGCCGAAAATAATTTTTTAATGAGCATCTTAGGTAGAAAGGGGAAAATGCCAGGGGCCTAGTTTTGACTTAGGTTAAATCACTAAGATTGAGGACTCTTGTAGAGAAGAGAGATGGCTTGACAAGCTTGGGAGAAAAAAAGACAAGGAATATGGGGAAGAGGCTGCTTTTTTTCCTTTAAATTCACAGGACCTTCTCTCCTCAGAGTCACACCCGATCCTTGAGTGACCCCACCACTCCTCTGTGACCTGGGTCAGTATCCATTTCTACCACCCCAACGCTCCTTTCCTGCTGCATGTACCTTCCTTCCTCCCCCAGATGCTTGGGAGTCAAGATCTTCCCTTTCCCAACCCATCTCCCTCTCCACCCCCTCCCCCACTTCTGTCTTGCAGAGAAGGCCCAGAATGTTGCCACAATCCCTTCTCACAGCACACTTTGGGCTGGAATAGTGGTGGGACATAATGGAGACTAGGAAAGCATTGAACTCCTTTCCTTTGCTTCTTGGACAGAGATGGTCAGAGGACCAGTGCATTACTCTGTTACAACTATCTAGCTCTTCCAGCCTGGTGCCTTCTCCTGCAGGACCCAGAATGGTTACACTTGCTTGACTTCATATACCCTGGAAGCCAGGAAAAGATGCCTTTTCTAGCCCTTCTTCCTGCTGGGCCTCTGCACAGCCCCAGGGCATGGATCCCCACTCTAGTCTTCCTCTTGCCAATCTGTGTTCTCCCCTTCTCACCCTCTGACTTTCCCTGAGAAAACTCATCTCTGCCAAGTCAACTGGAGAGCCTGATGACTCCATTATGGGGTGTCAAAGGAAAAGGAGCTATGCAAACCATTATAGGAGGGTGGGGTGGGGGATTGCAGGCTTTCTATATATAATGATTGTTATGAGAGTACTATTGTTATATTAAATGTATTTACTCCAACTTTGCCTCCCTGGAGCTACAACAGTCTTTTGGGTTGTGGTGACACTACTGACTTATGCACTTCCCCTCACCCAACCATTAACTTCTGTTAGTTATCATCAAGCCAATTCAGACACATGGTGGCACCTCCATGTGTGCAGAGTAAATAGACTTGCTTCATAGGGCTTTCAAGGCTGTGGCCTTTGGGAAGCAGATCACCACCAAACTTGTTTTCCAAGACAACGCTGAGTGGGTTTGAACCTCCAATCTTTGATTAGCAGTAGTCTACTGCTTCACTGTTCGTGCCAGCCAGAGACTAAAACACAGAAAATAAAGCCAAGGCTATAAGGTACATGAGAAGTAGCTCCTTCCGATGGCTCTCAGAAGCTCAGTACACCCTTTGAAGGATATGCAGCATAATCTAGCAGCTCTCAAAATTAGCTTCTCAGACCACTGAGCATAAAAAAACTCCAGGCCATTTGTTAAATACTAATTTTCTAGGGTCCACCTAGAGTCTTGGTATGGTGCTGTAGGATAAAGCAGTAGGTTTGTGGTTCAAACTCAACAGCTGCTTCTCAGAAACCCTAATAGGATCACTGTGAGTTGGAACCTGCTTGATGGCATTTAACAACACCTATGAGTTACTGGTAGCATAGTGGTTACGAATCCGGCTGCTAACCTCATGGTCAGCAGTTCAAAACTACCAGTTCCGCAGGAGAAAGACGAGGCTTTCTGCTCCCAAAAAGACTTAACAGCCTTGGAAACCCTGTACAGGGTCGCTATGAGTCGGAACCGACTCCATGGCACATAACAACAACAATGAGTTACTCAGGCCTTAGGGTTAAGTCCATTGGAGTCCTGGTATGGTGCTGTAGGATAAGCACTGGGCTGCTAACCACAAGTTCAGTGGTTCAAACAAACCAGTCGCTCCTCAAAAACCCTTTAAGGGTCACTGAGTCAGAACTGTTTTGATGGTACTTACCAACAACAGGGTTAAGCCCAAGAGTCTTCATTCTTTGAATGATAATCAAGTGCCTGAAGTGGTGGCTACTTTCTGGGCTGAAGAGCCCAAGGGGACAGGACATAGGCAGACAGACACAGTACCCTGTGCCTCAAGACACCTGTTTATTGGGGACACAACTCTGCGACAGGGAAGACAGGGATCGTACCAAAAATAGCAACGTCTACAGGGCCCCTTTTGGGGCTAGAAGGGTACAGGGCCCCCCACCCCCACCCCTTGTACAAAAATAAACTCTCACGCCTATGGACCAGCAAAGACTGGCAGAGCAGCTCCTCTATAGAGACATGACTCTTTCTGCCAACCCTGGGACCCCATTCTTTGACCCTCACCCCTGCCACTTCTAAGGCACTGTGACTCTCCCCTGGGCTGAGTACCTCCCGCCCACTCTCCTACGCCCACTGCCCCTTCACCCTCTGGTCTGCCTGGGGCTGGGATATGGGTCCCGCACTGCCCCCTGCTGGCTGTTCTATCCAACTACCTCTAGCGCTCCCCGCTCCAGCGAGGTAAGCTCACTAAGCTAAAGGCCCCTAAGAGGGCTCCCTACCGTTCTTGCCCCCCCAGCCCGGTCTCTCCAGATCTCAACATCCCGGGGTTCTCCTCCCTTTCTTCAGGAGGACTGGGAGGGGTCTCCCCTGATGGTGCTCGGGCATAGGGCGGGGATGTTTCGGCCTGGGGTGGCCGACGACCCCTTGCCCGGCGGCTGTGATGCACTTGCAGGTGCAAGGCCATGAGCTCAGGGGCTCCAGTGGCAAAAGGGCAGAAGAGGCAGCGATGGAGGGCACCCCCAGGCCCGGCCTCACCTCCCGGGCCTGCCCGCAAGGACAGGTCCAGGGGCTCGGCCTCACCGCCTCGCCCGTTGCGAAGGGTCCTCCCGGGGCTAGCTGGCTTCCGACGTGACCCGGGCACGGTGCCACTTGTAGGAGGCCGAGGGCTCCCTGTGCCCTCCACCCAAGTGGCAGGCTGCTGAGCAACTTTGGCTCCCGAAGGCGGGGCTGAACCCCGCTGGGAAGAGGGTGGCGGCTCTGGGGGGGGGCCTGGGCCCGCCCCGCTCCTCTGTTCCCGGTGGTGACGCTGCAAGTGATACTTGAGCGAGCCGGACTGGGTGCCCGCGTAGTCACAGTGCGGACACTTGTAAGGGCGTTCGCCTGAGGAAAAGGGTGAGACAGAGTCACTTGGTTAGGATCACTACATATCCCCTCCACATTATGCTCGACTTACAGACCTCATCCTCAGAACCAGTAAAAGACACACACACACACACACAAAATGCTGCCTTTCCCACCTCTGATTTAATAAAGAACCAGGAACCATCTCCTATTCAGCCAATCTGAGGGTTGTTCTACATTCCCTTCCCTTCACCTCATCCGTCTCCCTGTAGGTGGCCCCCTCACCTGTGTGCACTCGCAGATGCACCTTGAGGTGATGCGCTGAGCGGAAAGATTTTCCGCAGAAGGGACAATCCTTGCCAGTAGTTGCCCGGCCTTCCGGGCGAGTCCCTCCAACCAACAGCCCGTTTTCTTCTGAAATACACAAAAGAGGAAGTCAGACGGGTCTGTCCCTGGTAGGGGCATGCATCTCAACTCCCACCCTATGTTGTTGTGAAGTGCCGTCGCGTCGATTCCGACCCATAGCGACCCTATACAGGGTTTGCAAGGAGCAGCTGGTGAGCTTGAACCGCCGACCTTGCAGTTCAAATGGCTTTGAGCATTAACCCACAGCGCCACACCAGGGCTCCAACTCCCACCCTATAGTTGGGACCAAAAGTAAGTAGCAGGGTTTGGGAGAACTTGAGGGATTATATTTGTCATTAATTCTGTGTTGGTGTTCTCAAAAGGTGGCAACGCCTCCAAGAATAAAAGGATAGGAGAAAACAATATAAGACCCTTTTTTAAAGGTGAGTACGGGAAGGAATTTGATAGCATCAGAGTCAACTGAGGACACGGTACATACCCTACATGGACATACCCTACATGGCCGTACATACCCTGCGTGGCCGTTGATCTTGCCTGGGCTCCTGCTGCAGACGCAGGCTGCCCCGGCCCCTCGCCTGGGCGCGAGTGCAGTGAAGTCAGAGGACCCAGCGCCCGGCTACGGGCCCAGGTCTCCTCCTCTGCCTCCACCACCTCCTCCTCTTCATCAGGCTCTTCAGTGCGGTGCCGGCGAGCCCGGGCAGGGAGAGCCGAAGGCAAAGGACGGAAGCCTCCAAAACTGCGGCTAGGCGCAGACTCAGCACCCTCGCCGTTGGGCCGCGCCTCACCAGCTCGCAGGCTAAGATAACCCAGGAGGCTCGGGGGATCACGGCGCTCAGTGGCGGCAGGCGCCGGGGCCAAGAGGAGCGCGGGACCCAGTGGCTCATAGGCCAGTAGGCCCAGGTCAGGAGGCTGAGGGGCCCGGGCAGGCACAGAACCAGGCCCAGGAGCACGCAGTGGGCCGAGCTTGCTTGCGTGCACCTTCATGTGGTTCTTGAGGAACCAGGGCTCCTTAAAGCAGCGGCCACACACGGGACACGCATGATCAAAGGAAGCCTTGTGCTTGCGCATGTGGCCCTTGAGAAACCAAGACTGTGTAAAGCTCTGGCCGCACACTTGGCAGCGGAACTCCGGAGGCGCTGGGGGCTCCTCTGGAGCGGCGGGAGTGGGGGCGGGGGCGGGGGTTGACTCAGGCTCCGGCTCAGGCTCGGCTTCTGGGGCTGATTTGGGTTCCTGCTCTGGTGGAGGCTGAGGCTGGGGCGCAGTGGAGGTGGCCGCCAGGGGGCGCGCGGTAGCCCCATGGGCTGTCAGACTGTGGTGTAGTAGCTCCTCCTCCTGGCTGGAGCCGAAACTACACAGGCCGCACTTCCAGGGTCTGTGCAGAATGTGCAGGTGGCGTTCACGCTCCGCTGCGGTGCGAAACTTGCCTTTGCAGAAGGGACAACGGAAGGCAGACGATGTAGTAGACTGGGGTGGAGCCAGGCCTTCTGTGGCTGGGATGGCCTGCACACCCCCTGAGCCCCGGGCTCGCCCTAGCCGGGCCTCGCGCAGCAGTGCACGCTCCTCCAATTCCAGCAGCAGGCGCGCGGCAGGGCTACGCGGGCGCTCTGGCTGGTGAGTGCGGAGATGGGAGCGCAGCAAAGCCCGCTGTGCTGCACGGTGGCCGCAGTGCGGACATTGAAAGGCCTGGGCGCCAGGGTGTGCCCTCAGGTGCAGCGCCAAGATGGAGTTAAAGCGGAAGCGCTTCCCGCATACAGGGCAAGGGAAACGCCTTTCACCTGCACGACTCTCAGACCAGGCCACCGCACCCATCCCGGGTGACCCTGCGCTCAAGCCTGGCCCGTTGGAGTAACGCTGCAGATCCAGTTCACCCTCGAAGGCTGGCGGTGAGGGCGCTAAGTGGCCGCCCAGAGCGCGGGGACGTGAGCCCTGTGGAGAAACGTGCAAGTAAAGCAAGGGGTGTCGAAGGGCCAGCTGTGGGTGAGGCAAGAGCATGATGAACCCGAGGGAGTGTGGGTTGAGGCCTGAAACAGAAATACCCAATACCCAATGCCCACTCCACTGGCCTGGAAGACACTGAGGTATGCATGAGTACTGGGATGGTGGGGACAAGGAGGTAACTCCTAATACTAGGAGGTGTGAGTAGAGAGGGAAGGGAGCTTAGTTGTAGTTAGGTGTAAATTGAGCCAGAGCTTCACTCACCTCCATGGACCCCCTTCACATTCTTTGGTTCTGGGGAGTGCAGGGAAGAGGAGGAAAAGCTGCTAGTGAAGGCAACAGGTGCTGAGGAGCTAAAGCAAGAAACACAATTGGAGGAAAAGATAAAGCTTGGTTTTCAACAGCGGAGTCACCCTTAACCCCAGATTTCTACCGTCTCTATTCATAAAATCTATCTTTTCCCTCCTTGCATCTTGAGGCACCCAAAGGGTCTGTGGTCTTCAAAAACAGTACCCCTTGATTTGCCAAATCCACATGGCTCCTGATAACCCAGATTTATTCCCCAAAATTATACTTTTAAAATGCCTGTTTCCAAAGTACCCCCTACTATGCCATGCCCAGGTGGTGGAGAACATCACAGTACACCCCCATCTCATGTAGGTTGGGCTGAACGGTATGATGAGTACATAGAGTGGACTTGCCATGCTCCCCAGTTATTCAAATGGAACCAGTCGCTTCAGACCCCTAAAACAATCCAGCCAACCAAACACCCTTCCAGGCGCCACAGTCCTTCCTTCGGCCCTTACCCTGTCTTTCTGTCTTTCCCCCTTATTCTCCCTCCCTCTGCCTGGATTCCTGATCCATTCATTTCCATTCATTACAGAGACTCATTCATGCATGGGAGAGAAACACCTCCCAGCAGCAGAGTCTGGAGACAGACAGAGGGGGAGGGGCATGAAGTGGGAGAGAGCCAGAGGGGAGGCAGAGAGAGTTGGGGGAGGAGTAGAAGTTAAGGGGCGCTTCTAGCCCGGGGAAGGGGTTAAAAACTGCAAATACCAGATAGAATGCATCCCCTTGTTTCAAACCTTGGAGACTGCAGTTTGATGGGGCATCTCAGGCCCCTTTGTCCAGGGCTGTTCCGAGGCAAGCTTTCCTCTTCTCTGCAGGGGAGAGGCTCCCTCACACAAGAGGAGGATTACACAGGCTCTGAGCTCAAGAGGCTGGAGTGAGGGATGGGGGGCGGGGCTGGGCCATCTGCACAGATAGGGGCTCAGCACACGCTCAGAGCAGGAAGGGGTTAAAATTCTCCAGGCTAAAATTCCCTAGGCCTAGGATGTGCAGTGCTCCACTTAGTGCTGGGGAAGGAGAAGAGCAATGAGAGGAAGAGGATTTGGGGGAGGGGGTCCCTGATTATAGGTTACACAGGAGGTCAGTGCTATGACTTAAAAGCAACCTTAGAGTTCAGATTTATAGAAAAAGGCCTGGGAGTCTAACCAGCAGTCGTCCAGTCTACCTTCCTGCTTACATAGGGAACTGTTTCCAGTCAAGGCCAGACAAATGAGAGCCTAACCTGCTTTCTGGGGTTTTTTTTCCCCTTGAGATAGAAGGAATATTTGAAATAGAAAGAACTTCCTTACCATAGACATTATGAAACTGAAATGGGTTACTGAGAAAGAAAAGGACTCAAGCATTACTTTGCTTATGGATTTTTAATAGACGAGAACTGGGCCAGCAGTCAGTCTTACTTATCAGCAAAGGAAGAAGGCTCTGGAATTCCAAGGAGTTTTTGATTTTTTGTCATTTAGTGGATGTAGTATGACTCCATGAAGGGGCATGTGTTTGTTACATGTGGGACCTGGGATATGAAAATTTTATTAATAGAGATGAACAAAGTGTCCTTGTCCCAGAGTCACCAAATGACCTCTACAACCACTAAATATGTGTATTTCTGTGGCTCCAAATTAGGACATCCACCTTCATCCTCTGGATTCTCTAAATAAACCCCTTTCCTGAAACTAAAATGCCTAAATAGGCTTACTGAATGGTTTGATTAAAGGTGCACTAGAATATGTCAGAGGGGTGCAAGGTTCATGTGGTCACAGTCTGACCATTAATAGCCCTGCACCCTTAAGTAAACCCCCTAACCTCCCCATTTACTCATTTGTAAAATAAAGGGATGGACTAGTTTATACTGATGTTCCCTTCCAGCTCCAAGTTTGCAGTTCTAAATCACACAACACATTTAGACTCGAGAGGCATTAAAACAAATGGCCACCCCTTCAGTACCATGGAGAGTGCAGTGGGCTACCAGAAGAGCCACTTTGGCCACCTCAGTACCACAGATAGAGCTATGAAGTGCTTCTTCTTGTTAAGTGCTGTCGAGTTGGTTCCAACCCATAGCGACCCTGTATAGGGTTTCCAAGGAGCAGCTGGTGAGCTTGAACCGCCAACCCTGCAGTTCAAACAGCTTTGCAGTCTGGCGCATTAACCCACAGAGCCACACCAAGACTCCTGAAGTGCTAGAGAGGCCCTTATTTGCCATTTTAGTACCAGATAAGGCACTGTGAAAAACTAGAGGATTTGTTGTGTGTTATTTTATAATTCCTATCTGAGAACCACAGGAGGGGGAGAAAAAAAAAAAAACCAGTGGTACCAAAGGGATTATTTTGGCCTTTTGAATGTCACTGAAAATAGACAGATGCAACAGAAAATAGATGTAACTGGAAGAATTTTAATTAGCTATAAGGAGTGTCCTAACAGTTACAGTTTGTACATCCTGGAATGAGTTACTGAGGAATCATATTTGGGTCCATCACATTCTGTTGCTCTCCTGGGGATTCCCAGAACATCCTGGTGTACAGCCAATCTGGTATATTCAGAAGCAGATGGCAGTTGGGGGCTGGAGGGGGGGGAGGGAGGAAGTGAGAGGCTGGGAATACTGCATGGTCATAGCTGACTAACCTATGTGCACATACTCTGATTCTAAAAAGATTCTAGGGCCCCTAAAACTGTAGGATAGCAAGCAAAATACCTCGTGGAAGCTGGCCTTATATCAAAAGCTTGAAGAGTAAGAATACAGGAAAGCTTCCTCCCACCACAATCAAAAACAAAACAAAAACAAAAACCTGAACAATTTCCAGGATGGAAATATAGTGATATACAGGAAGGCCCAAAATGAAGCTGAATTCTTCAGCAGGGAAAGTTTCCCCAGAGGGTGGTCTAAAACTAATAAAACCCAGTAAGAGACCTTCATAGGCCCAGCCAAGATCTCCTGAATCATTTCCACACCTGGTCCCAGGGGCCAGATTCCATGGGTTTTTCTCAATAGAAGAAAGCATTGACAGGGCCCAGGATTCTATGGAATGCCCTGGAACATAGGTCATACACATATTGCCTGTGAGCAATCGTCACAAATTTGCCTAGTCGGGCCTTTAACACCATCCACCTGAATTCACCAGACAGTAGCACTGACCTACTTTCCACCCCACCCAGAACTAGGGGTTATCTTGCTCTTTTTTGGGCTCTATAAGAATGCAGGGCCAGGGATAAGGATCAGAAATCTTTCCAAAACAACAGGCCATTTACTCTTGTGTACTAAGCATGATGGTAGGGAAGCATGTATGGACCATGAAATCTTACTAAGGAAGATGGAAGGGTTGGTATGAATACTTTTACAAACAGGTAAAGAAAGGTACACAGTAGCATCCACTAACTGGAGAATGAAATTGTCCCTCAAACTGCGTGGCTCAAATGATTTCAAGGATCAAAGTGTAAGGGGCAAGGGTTCAGGACTTCTGGGGTCTAGTTGTGATTAGGTCTGTTTCTGATCATCCCCAATATTTAATGTTGTCCCTCTGTAGAAAATCCTACACTTCCCAAGTCAGCTTTAAGACCAATTATAATTTAACACTGAACTAGATAGGATTGAGAGGAAAGGAGGCTTTTGGGTGGTCTACAGTGAAGACCTTCATTGCACAGGCATGCCTACAGTTCAGTTTTATCAATTATATATGGTCTCCTCTCCATGACTCTTTGAGCCTCACTGCTCAGATAGTGCTTCCAATACCCCCACCCCCACTTTACAGTGTGCCCACCCTTTTGATGGAGTACTAATAAAGTTTCCTTCCCTTCATCCTCAGTGTCTTGAGTTGGGGGCGCGTGATCTCAGTCATAGACTCCAAATGTAGAGCAGAAGGAAAGAGGAAGGAACACCTGCTCACCTGCTGCCACCCCACCATGGTGAATCCTATCCCAGAGGCATGTCCCAACTTGACCCCTCTTCTGAAAGTTCTGCAGGATTTGGATTTGGGGAGGGGGCATGTAGCCAGCCCTAAGTCCCCTCAATTGGAACTGACCCTAGGGAGGTCACAGTCTTGGCACCACTGATTGGGGATAAAAGCAGGAGAGACTCAGAAAATCCCCCTCCCAGAAATAGGTTAGGAAGTAGGCTTGGGCCTGCGATCCAGCACGAGAGATTTCTTCCAGTAGCACCCCAGACCCTTCCCGGGGAGGATAAATCAGAAGGAAGATGGGGGTCAGGCTTGGGGTTATAGGAGGCCAGGGCTCAGCTACCCCTGACCGGGAGAACAAAAGCTGAGTTGCAGCCGCCTCTGCTGCTGCCGCGGGCCCGAGCTCTTTGTGACACTTTGTTTGGGACGCAGAGAGGGAAGCACTCCCCATCCTCTCCCCTCCCCCACCCCACCCCGCTATTGGAGAGTTTGGGTCTCCCCCTTCCCCCACCAGCCCTACCTGGGCCGGGGGGCGCTCATCCACTCAGCCTCCAGGCTCGGCCGCCCGGGGCCCCTAGGCCCCTCCCGCCCTCCCTCTGGGCCCCTACAAAGACGCCCACCCCCCCATCTGCTGGCCCTTCCCCTTTGGCATCCGCTCCCCCAGCTCCCGTACCTGGCCCCCACCTCCATGGAGCCCCCCCCAGCTCTCCCGGCTTCTGAGGCCACCGCCCCCACCGCGCCCCCCCAGAAGCTCTGGGCGAAGTTTGCTAGGGGCCGAGCTGGCGCCCCTCCCCCGCCCCCGCCCCCTGCACCTGCTCCAAGCCGGGCGCGCGGCGCGGCCCCCCCTCCGGGAGGGGGAGAGGGGGCCGGGGG